TCTGTTTCTTTTTTTTTTTTGGCCTTTTTGCTGTTTTCTCAGCCCAGAAATTCGTAATGAACTTGTCTGGCGGTGCCACTCAGTGTCACCCTGGATGGGTCACACTCCTATCCGACTGCTAATGGGACCTCGCCCCAGATCACAAATGGTCTGATGGTGGTGGTTGCAACAACAGTGAACAAAGTAACTGCCACATCAGTGATCCTGGCGCCCTCCATATACTCCGTGATTGAAGGAGGGCTCCACCCAATGAGATAATTGCACAACAGCAAGCATAGTACTGAAAATCTTCTATCCAGTGGGCCTATGGCCGACCCCACTCTCTTTTGGGGTTGGCCATATCCCCAACGGATTGAAAAGATTTTGGCGGGAAGCTTCCTTTGCACCGGCAAGCCCAGTGGAGAGGAGGAGGGGAACCAAGATCTCCTTACTTTTTCGGGTAATACATGTAAAATACTGACCGTGGGATCACGCGTACTGCATGGCAGGATTTGGGTCACTCAACTGCCACACAAACTCTTGTCTATCCTATCCCGTTGCTAGTGGGACCATGCTCCAGGGGTCTGGTCCCACCTACCGTTGTTGAGTTTAGAAAACTTACAGTGTGACGCCATTTCCACATTAATAAGTTCGAAACAAGAAATTAAAAAACTGAAAAAAAACGCTAGAAACAACTTTTCTCCTTATTTTTTATAACGTAACTCGGAGAAATGACACATGTCTGGAACAGTCGGAGTGAATGTCTCCGTGAAAAAGGGATACTCCCCGTGGTGAGGGGACAGGAGGTCACCATTTGTAAGATGGACAGGGACAACGTGAATGGCCAAATGCATTCGTTGCCAAAGGAAGGAAACCAGTTTGATGCCAGACAGCCAAACACAGCTGTCAGAGTTCCTTCGTTTCAGGATGCAATGATGTCTAAAAGACGGAAAACAAGGAAAGGCACTGCAGTTGAGAAATGTACCCTACCCTCTGTAGGGTAGTTTTCACAACGGAAAATGGTTTCCCGCCCAAACCAAAAGCATAGGGCCAAAGCATACTACAAAACGGATTTCACGTCAAAGAAAAAATCTACAAAATGACAAAATCTAATAGGTTATTCTCCTGTATTTCGGTACCATTAGATCGCAATACATCAACGGCAGAGCTCCGTCCCACCATGCCACACGTGATCGAAAGCTCAACCTTGAGAAAACTCAACGCTGTAGGTGAAACCAGACCTAAAGTCAGAGTTATATTCCTCATCTGATTCCAACTCAGGTCTGTGTTTCAACAGTTCGTGGGTGTACCTACTGAGGGCATACTCACACCCGGACTTTTTCTACTAAGCTCTGGACGTGATGGCGGTCAGATTCATCCAGGCCTGCCATAGTTGCGGTCAGATACCCCCAACCGGGCCCAGCGTCCCTTATATTTCAGTGTCAAGAATCAGGCCTGGCATCCCTTACAAAAAGTTCCAAAGTCCTGTTTGAGGGCGAGACATCCGCACTGGGCTTGACCGACCTGTGCGGTCAGATACATTTAGGAATACGTTCTAGTGTGAGTATGCCCTGAACTAGGCCAGTTGGTAACCACCGATTTTGTTAAAATGCTGGTGCTTTGTGTCTTTTTTTTGTCGTTCAACCACATTGAGGAACATGGGCCCCAACCGATTAGCATCATGTAAAACGGTGTGTGGCGTTCTTTTCTTATTTAGAAACACATAAACAATGTTTTTTTCCATTTACACGAATGCAAAGAGAAGGGCCGAAACGGGAAAAAAAATCAGTCTGACATAGACATCATGACAGTACAGCCTGTGCATCCCTCATTCTCAAGCCTTAGCGCTGGGGAAAAGGCAAGGAAACCAACTGGCCTACAATGACGCCTGTGATACGCAACCGCACGCCCCCTCGCAGCTTCCCGTACTGGGTCGCCGATCAGAGTTCTAGAAGGGTAGTGGCCAATGATTTTTGGCCGTACGGGTTGAGTCTCCCGGACGGAACTGCAGGCTCTCATTTCGTGCCAGAGGTTACCCCAGAGTCGAACTGTCGTCACGAAGTCCCGTGGGGGAGGGTCGGATCACTTCGGAGCGATAAAATCAGAAGGGTTCCGCAAAAACGAACTCCCGTCGTGCATC